CCCCGAAGGCCTGGGGCGCCAACGATCCAGCCAGAAGCCAGCGAGCCAACCAGGAACCCGCCAGCCGAGTTACACGGGGATGGGCTGCATTTCCAACCCGAACCAACCACAAACCAACCGGGGTCGGCTTTACACCGTGTAAGCGCTTCTGGTTGATTTCTGGTTGGTTCCGTGAGCATCGTTTCACCGATCCTCATCCCCACCAGCGTGGGCTGGGCCCCACTGGCCGATTTACCCCCCTGATGGGGATATAGGCTGCTCTCGTCGGGTTTCGAGGGGCATGTCTTTAACTGAGGCGGCGAGACGGTGGCGCTCGAGACGTGGATCGCGCTGGGGATGGGGATCGGTTGCGCGATGCCGGTTCTGGTGGGGAAATGCGGCCCATCCTCTGGCCCCCGCCCCCGCCAGGGGGGCCCCCGCCTGGTGGTCCAGCGTGTGCAGCGCATCCTCGGGGCACGTCGGCGTGCCACCGCGCGGGCTGGGGCAGCCTCCGGGTGCGGCGGGCCGCCGCCGCCGCCGCCCGCGCACACGGCGCGCCTGGCCCGAGGATCGAGGGCCGATGCCGCCTGCCGACGTTGGTCTGCCTTTGGAGGCCTCCTGCAGCTGAGCCACGAGATACCAGGAGGTGTGTCAGGGCCACCAGCTGAGCTACCATAGCCAACAGCAAGGCTACAAGGGCCGCCTGCTGAGCCACGAGGACCTCCAGCTGAGCCACGGAGGAGTAGATGGGTTCGGAGGATCGCGCCGCATCGCCGATGCATCGGCGATGCATCGGTGATGCATTGGTGATGCACCGGCGATACATCGTCGACGACGGCGATGCATCGGCGACGTCGACGTGAAGCAAATCGGGCCCCACATCGAGCCGCATCGGCGATGCGGCGCGATCCTCTGACCCCATCTGCGCCGACCCCATCTAGGAGGCCCAGAGTCTTGCAAGGCTCGAGCTGCACAGTGCTTTTCGTTTTCGCATCGCTCTCGCTTTGCGTCGTTCTGTCTTCGTTGCGACTTTGCTGGCAAGCGAGCTCAAAACGACAACTTCGGGAGAAACAACGTTGAGCTCGAGCCCCGCCGCAGTGACCTTACAGAGAAAGGCTTCTTCGACGAGATGAGCTAAGAGGCACAGGGCAGAGCCAGTGACTCGAGGAGCTTCCTCGAGTGCGGACCCGCTTGAGCTGAGAGCAGTGCGGGCGCAGTGCCAGGCTGTTGGCAGAACCTCTCGACGGAACTTTTGGGCCTCCAGAGGCCCCCCGGGGCCCCCGGAGACCTCCAGAGAGGCCTCCGCAGGGGCCCCCGGAGTCCCTGGAGGCTTCCCGCATGCGACCTCTGGGGGCACCTCCGGAGACCCCCCGGGAATCCAGACCTCCAGCGCCGCCGCGATTTCTTCGGTGCGGGGTTGTTTCAACATCTCAGGCTCTGGAAGCCATCTTCGCCTCACGGAATATAAAACGCCAGGATGAAGAACCTGTCCCCGGGATGCCCATGTGCCCATGTCGGAGAAACTTCACGACGTCGGACGTCCTGGAAGGGAAGCTCGAGTGATTCGCAGTGGCGGAGGAGGAGGAGGAGGAGGAGGAGGAGGAGGAGGAGGAGGAGGAGGAGGAGGAGGCCGGAGGAAGATGAGGAGGATGAGGAAGGGGCGGCCTGCGAGTACGGGCTCAGAGGGGGAGGTGAGGGGCATGAGAAATGGAGGTGAGGGGCATGTGTGCAACGAAGGTAGATCTTCTCAGGAGCTGCGCGCGCAGAGGCTCGCATCACGCTCGCATCCGTCGCGAGCGAACCCAGAACCGCGGGCACCACGTCCTGGGCGTTGATCTTGCGCACGACCGGCGGACACATCCATGTGCACGGCCTCGAGACCTGGACTTTCCCAGGACCGATCCCGTGGATGAGTGGTCGCATTTTTTTTTTTTTTTTTTGTTTTCTCCGTTTTTTGTGTTTCTTTCTTCTTTCGGCACGGGGCACCTGCGAGGGGCACCCGCGAACAAGGCGCCCCGTGTCCATGGTGTCGTGGCTCGAGGGCCCGTCCCGCGATGCCGTGGGCAGGGACGCGCTTTGATCGCCCACGAGCTACGGTGCGGCATGGCGCCAACGCAGCCCGCAGCCACAGTTGCTGCGCCTCCTCCTCCTCCTCCTCCTTCTCCTCCTCCTCCTCCTCCTCCGCCTCCTCCTCCTCCGCCTCCTCCGCCTCCTCCTCCTCCTCCTCCTCCTCCTCCTCCCGGCCGTGCGTCTTCGTGGGAGCTGGGCGCGAGCGGATGCACACAGGAGCGATCACAGACGTTGGCCAGCGTGGGCCCCGCACGGTGTGTTCTGGCAACTTGGTGGACCCTGCCCATATGCGGGACACTCTACGGCAGGTTCGCGTCGTGTCGACCCCGGCGTTGGTTTCTGACACCACGCTGGATCGTTCAACCTTGAACGATCGGCCGCTGCCGCAACGTCCGATCGTTCAATATCGATCGATTCTGGGCCACTGGCGGCGTTCAACCTTGAACGCCCA